AGAAGACTCGAAATCACACATCCATAGATTAGAATTGTGCCTGCGGTCCTGTTTTTTGTTTTTTAAACCATTGTAAGATACATCCCTCGAACTACAGATACTTGTACTACCGCATTAATTTTGAATAGCATCAAACCTGCCAGGCAGCTTCGACCAGAGATGAGTTTTCTTTATCCTGATCAACTGCCAAACCTACCATAAAGTTTGATTGTTATTTTTGTTTAAATTTTAAACAAACTGAGAAATGAATACAATCTTGCTTCATGAATCAATTATAGACCAAAAGAAAAAACTTGAGTAAAACTGGAAAAGGGCATGAATGGATTGTGTATGAGGCCAGGATACAACCAAATCAGTTTCTGAATGGTGAATTATGAGAAGGCAAGCACAAAGCAGGAAGACAGAAGTCACTCTCAAGGCAACTCTCAAAGAAATAAGCACAAATGTCAACATGTGGGAGACGCTTGCCATTGACTGACCATCTCGCCCAGCACAGAATTGTTTAATAATCTAGTGCCCATACACCCGGGGCCATCCGCACTGCCAATGAAAAACAGAAAAAAACAGTCCGCCGCCCCTGAGCAGCACCTCCTGCAAACTCCGCACCTACACAGGTTTGTCAAATATGACTGGCCCAGGAAGCCATATTAAATTCAGACTCTAACAAAATTCAGATTGAACTTTGTAAGACACGATCATTGCAGAAAATAATAGACAAGCAACCACACAAACAGCACAGCATGCTGAACTTAAGCTTGTCAGTTGCGTAATATAATCAGAAATGGCAGAAAGTTTAGTAAGGGTTCCATTAATATTACTTTAAAATGAGTCCAGGATTTTTTATTTGCTACTACTAGACATCATCGAAAAGACTCAGATATTTTTTATCATATTTACTTACAACGACAGAGAAGTGATCTTAATTAGTACAGCCATTTCGGTACCTAAAAAAAAAAGGTACAGAGAAAATTCTAGAAAACTTTCATTCACAGGGCTGCCCACACACTACCATGTTTCAGAAATCAACTTACAAAAAAGTAATATCCTATGTTAAAAATTCGTAATATGGCTATGGATAGTCTTCTTCACTTGGGTGTCAAAATGGGGCTGTAGTTAACCCTTCCAGCCCCAAGCGCACATATTTTCAGCAGCGCTTGTACCCCCCACCATCCCAAGAGCGTATATTCTCAGTTTCGGTGAGAACCAAAGTTGCACAATTTATAAAATTAGCTAACCTAATTAAACTATTATTTTTATAACATTTGTTCATTTACCTTTAAACATTGTTATATGTTACTATCTAAACCTTGTTACAAAGATACGGCATCACTTTTATGAGAATGCATGCCTCTTTTTCTGAAATACTGCTGTATTGGCTGGGACTGGGGTTAGGTAGTGCACAAAAATGGCTGAGGCTGGAAGGGGTAAGTATGTAAATAAAGGTGTGATGAGAAAAAAGGTCTTGCCAGGCTCTTCATGTCGAGTTAATAAAAAAAAGGGAAAGGGGGGGCGCTCGCGGCAATTACTGCTTGCAAAAACAAAACAAACCTTTGAAACTACATAATACATCAAAAGCCTTTGATCTTGATTGAGCATTACCACATATATCACGCACCCACCATAGCTAATCGAATAAGCTTCAAACAAATATCCATTTTTAAAAAATAATTCTGTACTGGCCTAAGCTGCCATCCAAAACACCAAAGTGCCAACATCTTGTCAACCAAACATTTGCTTACTCCTGGATTAACTCTTTATCTCCGGCAAGCTGCTCCCAGTGGCTTGCGGTCGGGACCACTATGCCGGAGAGCCGCTGACAGCTGCTCCGGCACATTCCTTTTCGACTACTTCAACATCAAATTAATCAAATTACTTTTCAGCAATTGCTGGAAACAGGTCTCTCATACCGGAAGTTTATTTATTAGAGGAAGAACTATCAAAGTAGGTCTGCCAGTTTTGATTTAATGACCCATTCAACGACGTTTTTGTCATTTTTAGATTTGGCACCAAAAAAAGGGCCCCGGCTAGTGGGTTTACCCTCCCCCCCCCCCCGAGATAATGAGTTAAGCACCTCTTAGTCTTCTAAAGTCTAATGCTTTTCTGGGGCAAAGTGGCACTGAACGACAACAAGGGCTCAAAGCAAAGATGGTGTCAACGTGAGACAGCTGCACGCAACATAGTGACATACTGTTCCTGTCGGAAACTTTTTCTCTCCTTATACATGGGGACGGTTGGCAGTGGGTTAGGGTAGCCGAAATTGTTAAAAATAGGAATCTGGAGTATGGTCATACTTTTGTAAAATTGAATAAAAATCGTAACGATTCCGGCAACTTCGTACTGATGGGCAGCCCTGCATTCACGAAATGAACTTCTTTGATAACATTAAAAACAATCAAGATTTGGGAAAAAAACAGGCTTTTACTTTCATGAAACCTTTACTGCACAAAGTTACAGAGAAATATTTTTCAGAAAACTTTAAAAAACCATTTGATATACAACAGAGTAGGTAACCCAGATTAGGTTACAGACTATATGTTAGCAAAACTCCGAACAGTTTCTCAAAAGTACACCCGAATCCCTCTATTTATTTGAACTCTCTCCAAAATGAGCTGTCTTTCACTACTGCATATAGTTGCACAGTTGTTAGAAGGCAAATCAATACAACTGTGCCCATATTTCACCAGTAACAAATCAGGGCAACAGCAACACGGAAAAGTAGAAGTTGAAGGAGTAGTAGACCAGAGCGTCTACAAATTAGCTGGGCCACACAATAAATGCAAATAGGTGCAAAGAAAAAAGGAAATCCTAAAAAAGATAATTTTGTAAATTCACAGAAAGCTATTTCATAGGAATGTGATGCCTGCCCGTCACACTGGCCAAGCTGCTAAACTGTAAAGAACAAATTGCTGTTTTTTGCTACACTATCAAAAATGCCTGTCTGGTCTTTAACACTTCTGTCGTAAATAATCATAACAACAGCAAAAGAAATAGGAACAAAGATTTTAGAAAAAGAACAAACTGATATTTGCATTTAAAATTGCCTTGACGGACCCTAATGGTGTCCATCTTTTTCAGAAACTGCACAAAATGTTCAAGTTTTAATGCAGATTTTCTATAAATTTCTATTTTACTTCATATTCTGAAATCAAGTCCTCTCTCTTTTATATTTCTCCACCTGACATTGGAAGAAGAAGCAGGAGAATGTAATACGATGATAACAAAAGATACTATAGAAAAAGGGAAATGCAAAATGAAAATCTTTAGGCCTCTTAGTCGAGACATTTTGTTCCTTTCGCTTACTTTATCTTACGTTACTTACGCTACTGTCTGTACTTGGTTGCTTTTCATTAACCACACTTATATCCTTAATATGACTAACTTAAACCATCATTTACACGTTAATGATTTATATCAAAGAAAAGTTTTATGATTCATTACCCAATAATATAATTTCTTGCTTTACATCTGTGCTGCTTTTACTTTTACTTAGGTATAATTTTTTGTTAACTTTACATGAGTAAAAAAAACAACAGACAGTGCGAGTGTTCCTCTACTGTTATAGTTTTTGGTTTTAACTCCCCCATTTCCACTTACAGTTATTACTTTAAAAGATAGTTCCACTGGTAGTAGACTTCTGGATAATGGGTGTTACTCCTGAAGTTCAGCTAAGGTTTGTAAGACACTCCTAACAGCAATACTCTTCAATTTAAGTTTTTTTTTATAAAGTAAAAACGATAAGGAATTTTTAAAAAAAAGAAAGACAAAGAACAGTAGTGTATTCATCCAAACATTATGCACCGCAACAACTAGCAATCTTCTGAAGCATAATAAGTCCACAACAATATGGCATATCTATTAATAGAGCAATTCATCTACACATCACTAAAGAACAAAAAAGGATTTTTGGGGGAATAATGTCAGGCAAAAATAGTGTGAATGAATACAAGGTGGGTATGAGCAAAGCTGATTGTGAAAGGGAAAGACATAATAATCAGTCCTTTGAATGGACTTTCAGATATCTCTAAATGCATTGAATCAATTAGTCACACATGCACATAGAAGAAAAAAATTACCATTCCAGATACCATAACAGAGAGATCAAGAAGTATCAAAGAAGTTATTTCAAAAGACAAATTCCCGCAGCAAAGCAATTTACACCGAGAGATAATTTCATTTCACTATCCACAAAAGACCATGCACATCACCATGGCATTCAAATTCAAACAACCGTAAACTCATGCCCCACAAATACACTGGAAACATGTTCAGGGAGCATGCATGGGGTAGAACTTTGAGAGTATATTCATAGACCAGATAAAAACACACAAGAAAAGTCAAAGGAGCCACTACATTTTGTTATATACTACAGTACTGCATCCACCTGGATGAAAAGCCATGCTAAGTTTTATAAAAATCTAAACTCACCACTACACAGAAGGTTCCTTGTAAAGTCTTTTCCAAATGATTTTGAAATCCTCTTGAAATTCAACACTGAGACTGCCAACGGTTTTAACGGCACACGACTCAGGGGAAAAAGCAAGAGCCGATAAAAACAAAACAAAAAACCTAGAATATTGCAATACAACCAGGCAAGGTTTTCTTGAGAACAACGATGAAACTGATATGACCAGTTGTTCCTCCACTGTACAAGTACAAAGGAACAGAATCTGGCATATCTCGAAGTTTTCACTGAAGAAACACCAAACATTTAAAGCAGTGGCGCATCTGATGCCGGAAATGCAAATCTTTACACAGAAGTCTACTAAAATACATGTACAACAATGGACTACAGTATCTAAATTCAATAAAACTGAAATACAGTGATAAAATAAAACAACAACATGAGCATATTTCTACTTGCAAGCTTCATATTTTTGTACCAATCCATGATATTTTTTCGGGACCACAGCCCACTTCAAGCTGATTTTAGGAGCTTCAGGCACAATATGGAGCTTGCAAGTAAAAGTGACTTTACATGTCTTATTTTATGTTTCAAATACCTGTTTGCCATCAACTTCAATGTCTGCTACATAATTTTCAAAAACTGTTGGCACGTAAACTTCAGGGAACTGGTCTTTGCTGAAGACAATAAGTAGACATGTTTTACCACACGCACCATCTCCGACTATAACAAGCTTCTTTCGTATCGCTGCCATGGTTGGCACTTGGCTATCTGTGGAGTCAGAAAAAAAGACAACACTGAATCGCTGAAAACGTTTCATACACATGCAACCTTACAAAACCTATATAAGGAGAAAAGGTAACAATTCGAAAAATATAACAACTGCATATTTTACTTCTGAAAAATTGAGCCAAGCTTAAAATATAACCCAAAATGGCTCTCAGCACTGATCCGATGGCTAATTAAAATTCATAATATGAACTTCCTCAGACCTTTTCTGCTCAGGAAACACCCAACACTGCTTGAAGCAAGGGAGTGATGATTATTATTCACATTTAGCCTTTCAGCAATAGATAAATTACAATGGAAAAACTTAAAACCTAACTTGCTGGACAACCATCATAATAATTATCTCTATCACTTGCGTCGTTTTCATCAATAGGTCAAACCCATGAAATTTAAAGAGCATCCCTCACTTCATGTGTATCTTGTATTAGAATTTAAGAGCTTAAAAGCTTAAAACATCTCTTTCTATTATTCCCATGGACCCAAGCCCCTTGAGCACTGTATGCAGAGATGTGAAAGGAGCCTCATCGGAAAACAAAGACATGTGTGAGCATGACCTTTTGAGATGTCCAATATTCTACATCAATACAAGCAGGGGAGAAATGAGTTAAAACTGTGTCTCTAATTTCTAATGCTGAACTCCCACCCAGCTGGCTTCAACATAACGTGACCTCAATGTTTTCTTGTCATATTTTTTTTTTAACAGTGAAAAAGTGACTTCTTAAGCTCACTGTTATGAACTGTTTCCACAGTTGCAAACCATGCCCCATCTCTTTTATTGCACACAAAAGCTTTAACACTTTGCCACCTCATCTCACCGATTTACGATGTTTACCACCCGGTTTCTTTGGATTTCCCCCAAAATGAGGTGACAAAGTGTCAAAAATAAGTGTCGCAAATACCCTTTCTCATTAATTGACGAGTCATTACAAGAGGTTACACCCATTCTAACATCCCTTCTAGACGTTACAAACAATCGATCATTTGAAAGTGGGAAAAACATAAACCAGTTTCAAAATGTTTTGCTCTCAAATTGTTCCTTCTTAAAGCACAGCAGCTCATTTCAAAAGGTGTTTCAGTTCTGTTTCCTGATTATCTCAAGTTCCTCATGCGGACAACTTTAGAACGACAGATGTACGCCATTGGCCGATATTTTTAGTAACAGCTATTTTGTTTGACATTGAGCCAAAAAAATCTGTGGCCAAACTGAGGCTCGAACCTGGACTTTCTGCTTTGGGGACAAGTGCACTGAAAGCTACAGGCTTTAAAAATACTGCAATAGTGCTTTGCGGTCGTGTTGCCACCGTGAATGACAACAGTGTGAATCCCTCAATGACGTCAAACAAGATAGCTGTTACTATAAATATCGGCCAATGGCGTACATCTGTCGTTCTAAGGTTATCCGCATGTTTTTTTAACTACCACTAAAATCTAGATCTAGGTTGACTTGAACAAATTTCACGAAGATCAAGTGTTACACCTACGGTATGTGTTTTCAAACAAAGCAGACGGTTCCAGAAGAAGGCAAGAAACGCACACTAACACAAGCAGACTGACACACGCACACTTTTTAGGCTGTGAAACCATGGGATCCGCTGTATACTTGGCACTGCACATGAGCTAAGCGGAGCCATGCATACGCAGGACCCACTGGGAAGCAAGGGTGCCAGAACTTGCTCATCAGTGGGCACTGATGAGGACTAGAGTCTAGTACGATGGGGGTTACTGTATAGTTCTCACCAGCAGTGTGCCTACACATCCACATACATTCATGGATATATGCAAAGGGTTAGCTATCCTCACACCCCTTTATTTTTTTGAAGTACGGCTAGACTGCCAGTCTAGCCGTACTTAGATCTAGGTTTGGCCCAATCGACTCAAGCCTGTTAAGTACACAGGTCTCATTAGATCTAGATCTAGTAATTGTTCAGGTTCAAATACATGCAAGTCAGTAAGGCACCTTTTCGTTTTGTCTGAAATACAAATATTTTTGGCATTGCAAACTAAAAATTTCATTTACAATTCAGCCATCAATATTAAGTACGGCTAGCCTGACAGTCTAGCCGTACTTATCTTAGGCCCTATTAACATTAGAAAACAGGAGGTTTAAAATACATACACTGTCATTAAGGCACCTGGTTTCGTCTCAAATACAAATGCTTTAGGACTTTAGGTACTGCACACTAAAAATTATATATGTGAAACAACGGACTGACTTGCTCAGCCAAAAATCACTTGGTCTACAACCTACAAATGCAAAATCTGACGCCAACTTAGCAGATCTAGAGAATGAAATCTACTAGAAACTACAGTTAAGCAGCACAAAGCAATTGTTGGCCCTAGAGCCTAGAGACTAATAAATCTTTTTCTTTCCTGCCACATTTCACAAGGCCACCTCTATTCTCACCCGGAGTGAGAATAGTGCAGGCGAGTCTTGTGGCTATTCTCACCCGGTGCGCGTTCACCCTAAACCACAGAATTCTACACTGTGATAACAGAAAAATTGTAGAATTCTGTGCCGTGAACAAACGTTCCATAACAACTATAGCCTACTAAAAGCGTGTCTGTGGGCAGTGGAGAGAGAGAGAGAAAGAGAGAGAGGAGTAGCGCGAGAATTTCCGGGCAAAACAAAATGGCGACCCGCGTAGTTCCGCTCTATTCGAAAAGTTAAATAGCCGTAGCATCTTTGTAGACAACTAAATTAATTTACTTTTGTGTTTTAACATCATTTTTAAACTTTGTTTTGGTCCATTTGATCGTCCACATCGATAGACAGTATTCAGAAAGAGACAGAGAGAGAGAGAAGAGGGGAGGAGTTGATCTTGCGAGAACTTCCGGGCGGGTGAGAATAGCCACTTTCATTTCACAAACATGACAAGGACATGTCATTTAAGTACTTTTAGCTATGACACTTTAGATCTGAATAAATAAATATGAATCAGATAAGCTGGCATGCTGCATGCAATGAGTCTCAGTCACAACTCTGAACTCTTTCCACCAGCTCTGGCATGCCATCACCAGTTTACACTTTGGCAATTAATTACAATTTCAGGCAACCATTTTATTTGAGAAAAAAATAGAAAGAAAGGAACCTGGGACTCCAAGTAAAGAGAATGTGTAGATCTAGATTTCTAGATCTAGATCTGGAAAATGAAGATGGAGTCATAGAGATCTACTCAAAAGCAGACACATCGGAAAACTAAAAGGCAATCCCTTCATTCCACTTCCAGTTTCCCCTTGCTTTACTACCAAGGCCCAAGGCAAGGAAATTCTTGCAGTCTGACTCGACTTGGATGTTGATGTTGATCTTCTCAAAATATGATAATGTTCATACACTTTCTTGGATATCTGTTCATAAATAATAATGCCAAATTCACAGCGAACGTAATCAGGATATTCAATAGAAGAACACTCAAAGGTTAAAAAACGGAGAGAACAAATTACAAATCATGAAGGCAGCATTTGGTCATTAGGCTAGATAAGTGACGTCACCAATATGGCGGCATTTTGGGCAGGGTCCGGAAATTCTTGTTAACAAAATTGATTTGCCAGCAACTACAAGGCATATGGACGATAAAAATGTTACTGATCTACTGAATAAAACTTTCTGTTTATGCATTGTAAGACACTTCAACCGTCCTTGAACGGAGAGAGAAAATGCAGCAACCATTGAACAAGCACCGGGTAGGCGATTTTGACTAAGAAAGGCGGAAATGAATTGCAAAATTAACTTTAGCGTTACAAAACAAACGTCCTTGGATAAGTACCCATATCAAAACATAACATGTGTATCAGGTGTGTTAATAATGGTTAAAATTTCCAACAAAAGGAGTATATTACCTGCTCTGAGGACTTAGATCACCTATGTTTGTGTGTTTGTCTCGTTCCACTTACATCAACCAACCACACCTCAATTCGTCCTAGAGGGGTAGGCTGAATTGCTTGACGTCACTGGGGAATCATGGGTGGATGTAGTGTACTTTCGATTTCAAAAGCACACTTCCGCTGTCCTGCTGTGTGTCGGCCTCACGTGTCTTTTTCTGTTAGTCTGCTTTTTTCCCCCCTTCAATTTCAATCCAGTCAGACAGAACAATAAAACTGGATTACTATGACTCCCAATCTCTCTCTCTCTCCCTCCCTCTCTCTCTCTCTCTCCCTCTCTCTCTCTCTCTCTCTCTCTCTCTCTCTCTCTCTCTCTCTCTCTCACACTCTGACGAGCAAACACACACGCACGCACCCAAGCACGCGCCCACGCGCGCGCGCACGCACCCCCCCCCCCCCCCCCACACACACACACACACATGCATACACTATAAACACGCTTATTTGAGGCATGTTTGAACGCTGATGGCGTTAGATCTAGATCTATATCTAGTTCGGCAGTCACTTATATTATTACAGGTCACGGTACATTTTTTTTTAAAGTTTGTGAGTTACTAGCTATAGAATCTATTTCAATATATGGAAGAACGTGTATAGTATGTATGATAAAAATATTTTAGTATTAACATCCTTGGAGGAGAAAAAAGGGCAGTTAAACCCAGGCGCGGTTCGTCCATTGAGCACGGCCGTGCGCAGTGCCGCCCAAAATTGTAATGTTCTATTAATTAAAACACCTACAATAACAGAATAAAAGACGCCAGAAACAAACACTAGCCAAATATTATATCAAAATACGTTTCTCACTGGCGCCGTAACTGTCATTTCTGTGTCTATAGCACCGTAAAACATCTACTATGCCATGCCAAAGTTCATACGCTGTATCTATGCTTAGCAGGATATTCAACAGTGGAAACCTGACCTATAAATCGCTCTTTGGGATATAACCCAAGCGATGACGACACTCGTAGCGAGTTTGGCGGTATATTAATAAGACGGCACATCTCAAATGTGCTCCTGCCGAATAGTGCCGAAACATAGCCCACAGTAGGCAATCTAAAAATAAACGCGATAGACTGTGCACTATTCTATGCCAAAATTATGTCAGCCCCGGAGCAATCCAGCGGAGTGCTCAAGTGAATTGTGATTGGTTCATTGTCTTGCCGCTATTTTAAGTGACTCTGTGACCGTGAACCTGGGGGAGGTGAACGTGACACACTTAAGTCATCGCCTTACGAGTTGTGCTTTTGAACGGTTTTGTAGTGGAGTGGTGAAAGGTATTACTTGAGTGTTCAGTTCTAAAGCAGGATGAATGAAATTGACGTTTAGCTAACAAACAGATTTAGTTCTAGAAGTCAAAGCCACAAGTAAAAAGACTGAAAATAGAATCACAGGTTCTCCCTCACCAAACTAAAGATCCTAAAATTATACACCATTTCATTTACTATGCCCTTGACTATCTTCAACCTAAGATAGCCAATTGTGCACGCCCACTTTTTAGACCCACGAGCCGCCCCTGGTTACACCTAATACATGTACAAGGCGTATTCACTCTGCAGAATGAGTCAAGATCATGAGGTGATCAAAAGAAAATACCAGAACACGAAACTGGATAAGCTCTAGAGTCTATGGTCTGTATAAGCAACGACTTGGTATTGATGATTCATTAGGACACTGGCTCTCGTGAGTTTTAAGAAGTTGCATACAAGTTCATCTCGCGTGTGTGCGAGTTATTTAAATTGGGGCCCATGTACAGTTGACTGAACGTACACTGCGGCGCTTCTTTCACAATTAGGAGAAAGTTATAGACCTATAGCCGCGATGACCTACTCGAAAATTATTGATTTGCCTGAATAAGTGCTGTGAATTCTTCGTTGTGTTCGTAACCTTACCACTTAAAATTATGAAGTTAACACACACACACACACACACACACACACACACACACACACACACACACACACACACTCACACACGCACACACACACCCACATTCACATACCGCACGTGGTAATTAATTTTTAGCCTTTGCATTATGTTTGTATTGCGTGTGATTGTATTTGCTTCCGTATTGATTTGGTACTCGTGAGACGCGTGCCATAAATTATATTATACTTAAAATACCTCTAGCCTAGCTATCTATGTCCTCCCCACAGACTGTATCATATGATGCTGTTCTGAGATCGTCTCAAATACTACCAAGACGCAAAAGGCCATGCATATTATATTATAATAATCATGCCTATATAGACTGCACTGCATGTACTGTACATATGATTATAATAATTTGTGTTCGCAAGCGTTGTGTGTTGTGCGAGTGAGCGCTCTATGAAAACATATATATCATTTGAGATAGTACTATTGATGTGGGACAAAGGGGCCTGAGGAGGAGTCTTTTTTTAATTAACATTTATTAAAGTTCTCTTTGCAGGCGTTGTTTGAGTGTAGTAAATCATAAAAAAGGGTTTTAGTAGTTTTATTAGTAATAATATGATAAGCTTGCATGATGTGCATCCGAATGTCCTAAAACATACCCAAGGCGAACCCAGGCCGGGCGTATGTTACCGCCATTCGCAGCAGTATGTTTAGAACCATTAGCAAAATATAAAAAAAACAAAAACAAACAAACTTGTAGGCTTATTTTAATAATACATACAATGTATTAGATTAGGTTTTCTTGAGACTGACTAGGCCTAGTATAACCGGTACGTCAGGCCTTCAAAGTACAAGAACATGTACATATACAAGTACAATGTTGGCCTAGCCTACAAAATTCGTTAAAAATTCTTTGCCAGGTAAGTGCCATACAATACTGCCAGACTGGTCTTTCATAATACAAGTTATGTGATTTGGTTAAAGGTTCTAGATCTATGTAGGCCTAAGCAAGTGTATATGGTATCTTTTTGAGTCTATATGACTGTTTCATTTTCAAAAAGTACCAATAAAATTTCTTTCGTTAATTATATTTCCATGCAGTAACTAAGCCAGATCAACACTCAGAGACATGGGGACTAGGGCTGTACCCCGGTAGCAAACCCGCTCGTGCTCACAAGCCCCTAGTTCAAGTCACAAGCCTCAAATCAGTAGGTCAAATCATCAAATCAAATCACCAGCATGATAAGTTGAGTCTAGCGCAAACTGTAACCTCCTTGGTCTAGTCTAAACTTCAAGTCAACAGCAACTAGCAATCCGCGAAGCCACTCGTGTCAGGCCCCCTCATCATCCCCACCCTGCTTGCAACCCGCGAAGCCACTTACGTCAGAAAAAGAGAGAGGGGGAGAGTGAGAGATCTCGCCCACAGAGTCACTGCGCGGCGTGGCGCTGTAGTTTACTCGATTAATCGAGGCCTGCGCAAGCCTCAAGTCCCGTCCGCTGCCACAGGCCCCACAATTCACACAGTACTGATTTGCGCTAGGCTTACAGATTTGCCCCA